CTTGTAAACAAACTTGAACCTGGGTGTCTGTTTTTAAAATGTTAGTTATTGGTTCAGTCACAGTTTGCTTTGTTCTTCATATATATTTTATGCTTGCCTTCTCCATCTAAAACAGTGTTTTTCAAACTTCTCGACTCTAATTTGGCTGGCTGGGGAATCCTGGGAGTTGAAATCCACGCATTGTAAATTTGCCAAGTTCAAAAAATACTGATCTAAAGTGACATATGCCATAACAGTTCTTTCCTTCCTATTATTTTTTTTTCCAGAAGTGTTTGCACATCAAAGAAAGTTATGGTGCCTTAATTTTGTTTGATTGCAAATACAATTAATGCAGCTCATACAGTAGACTAAGTTGTCAAGCATGGTTAACAAATCCACCATGGCTGAATTCATGCATCGCTATAAGGCAAATCTAAATTAACCATATTAAGCGTACATACGATATTTGTGTTTAATGGATCTCTGGATTTAGACAGCATATAGTAGGCCTGTTATAATTCAATACACTTTTAGGAAGTTTAATAATGTTTGCTTTTATATTTTGTTTCTAGAACTACTGCAAGCTTTGCTCCCATCATCGGGGGCATTTATCCTTGCGTAGTGCGATTTTAAATTACAACTGCCATGACTTTGCTGCTTAATAAATTCACTCTTCTCTTCTCCCAGGCAGTAATATTTCAGTGCAGTTTCCTTTCCCAAACCACACCTAACAATCCTTTTGTAATAGCTTAGCCTGGGACAAAGAAAGCAAGACCATGTTGGAAGAAATGTCCATTTGGGTTGAGTTCCAAGTGGGAAGAAAGAGACTGGAAACATGGTGGCTGATGGAAAGATGGTTTATAATGGTGGACAGGACCTCATGGTTTGAGGTCCTGGGCAAAAAAGCACATGGGTGAGAGAGAGATTTATACCCTCTGTTGGGCTTTGAATTTGAGCTTGTATTCTGATTGGTTGTCAGACTCCCGTGGGGCCATGCAGGGGTAACTTTGTAGGTTGTCTTTTGAGTCCCAAGCTTGGTTGAATCTTGCTGGGTGATGTAATCTCCCCAGGTGCCATGTGGTGAGTTCTGTTGTTAGAGGGCTAATCCTACCTTTGTTGGATCTTGGGTGAGGACATTTGCTTATGAATAGACCTAGCTATCTCTTTATCTCTTAAGTGCTGACGTCTGCTGTGGGCTATTGAGGAGGATGGGAGCTATTAAGATGAGTCTACTTTTTTTTTTTTTTAATTTGATTTATATGCCGCCCTTCTCCGGAGACTCAAGGCGGCTTACAGTGCGTTAAGCAATAGCCTTCATACTTTTGTATATTTATACAAAGTCAGCTTATTGCCCCCACAAACTGGGTCCTCATTTAACCTACCTTAGAAAGGATGGAAGGCTGAGTCAACCTTGAGCCTTGGAGAGATTGGAACCAGCAGTAAATTGCAGGCAGCTGTGTTAATAACAGGGTGCTTTAAACCACTGTAGTACCAAGGCTCTTACTTCCTGCCTAAAAAACACGTTTCTCCATTTCTCATCCAGGGAAATATAATATTCTGCCTTTTTACTATTTCCTAGAATATTTCATTCTTCTAGGAGAGGGGTGGGTGCTAACTTCCTATAATGTCCTACTCAATTTGCATTGCAGTCTGGAAATAAAGCACTTTTCCATTTTAATTTCAGTTAACCTCTACCTAAAGAGGTAAGAATGAATACACTTGGTACAGAGTAGATATACTATATTGCGTTAGCTCTGACCTGCATAGTGCTTAGGAACTGCCAAGGTGATGCCCCCGACACCGAACTCTAATGCCACCAGCTTACATCTTCTTGGGCTTTCAACTGAATAACCAACCAACCAACCGCTTCAGGATGTGGGAGGAGCCAGTAGAAGGTCCATACCAGTGGATTCCTGCACTTGGCATGACCCTCAAAGTCTACTGCAACCTTTCCAGTTTGCCTCCAGAAGCTGTGGATGCTCCAACACTGGAGGCTTTTGGGAAGATTGACAGCTACTTGTCTAAAATGATATAGAGCATCCTGCCTCAGCAAGAGGTTGGACTAGAAGACCTCCAATGTCTCTTCCAACTCTGTGAGCCTGTTCTGTTATTCTATGAATTTTGAAAGACCTTTTACCGTAGATATAAAAAAAAAAAGAAGTCTATGTAATGGATAGGCATAGACATAGCAACAAAAGAAATGGGTAATAATGATTAGTTTACGAATTCAGCCCATTTATATTCCGATTTCTGTCCTATCAATTTCTTCTCTGCAAGCGGTAGATAGTAATCCGTAGGGAAAGTCAGTAGTAAGAGAGGCACAAAAACACATGAACAAAAACACTTTACTGTAGCATCATAGATTCCACATTTAGGTCCTCCCACTGACATCAACATTTTAGGCTAATCTAGTGGTGATTGGAAGCACCTGCAATCACCTGTTGAGCTATCCAGGGAGCCTGGACAGCTCAACAGACTAAGCACTGTAATTTAACACCAGCTGTCTGCAATTCAGTTCTGCAATTCGACCAGTTCGTTCTCACAGGGAGGGACTACTCAGGGTACCGTCAGTCAAATTATGTCGACTGGCGACTCCCAGGGGGAGGGCCTTCTCTGTGAGGGCTCCAACCCTTTGGAATGAACTGCCCCCGGAGATACGGAATATCCCTGATCTCCGTGCTTTCCGCCGTGCCCTCAAGACCCTGATGTTCCAACAGGCGGGGCTAAACATATGAACATGTGAATGATTTTTTAAATGTGATCTAATTAGGTTTTATTTAATTGGCCAAACTAAGTAATAATTTTAATTAGCAATTTTATGATGTTTATGTGTCTATATTTTTGACTGTACACCGCCTTGAGTCCTACGGGAGAAAGGCGGTATAAAAATATAATAAATAAATAAATAAATAAATAAATAAATAAAAATAAATAAATAAATAAATAAATAAATAAATAATAAATAAATGTAAGATCGAATCTCGCCAGGCTCAAGGTTGACTCAGCCTTCCATCCTTTCTGAGGTAGGTAAATTGAGGACCCAGTTTGTGGGGGCAATAAGCTGACTTGGTATAAAAATATACAAAAGTATGAAGGCTATTGCTTAACGCACTGTAAGCCGCCCTGAGTCTCCGGAGAAGGGCGGCATATAAATCAAATTAAAAAAAAAAAAGCACAAACTGAGCGGTACATGAGGATAAATGTTATGTTTAAGATATAAAAAGGCTTGGGATTTGCTCAAAGAATAAACAGCTACCGAATACTGTTCGTTATATTTCCCAATGGTAATTTTTTACTCAGGGTTCATGGTTCCACTTTTTGTAAAAATTATACAATGCTATAAAGCCTCAGTGTCAGTGGTGAAATGCTCCCAGTTCGGACCGGATCACCCGATCCAATAGCAATGGAGGCGGGTGGTTCGAAGAAACGGTAGCAAAAATCCCTGCCCCCCCCATGCCCAGCTGAGCCGCACAATCATCAGAGGCTTTTTTTTTTTTTTTACTTTAAAAGCATTTTTTTCTACAACCTCTTCGGCTGAAAAAAATGCTTTTAAAAGTAAAAAAAAAAGCCTCTGATGATCGCGCGGCTCAGCTGGGATCATCAAAGGCTTTTAAAAGAAAAAAAAACCCTTTTTTTCTTTTAGATGCCTCTGACGATCCAAGCTGGGTTGCCTGATCGGCAGAGACTTTTTTTATTTAAATGCCTCTAACGATCAGGCAACTCAGCTTGGATTGGCAGAGGCATTTAAAAGAAAAAAAGGGTTTTTTTCTTTTAAATGCTCTGACGATCCAAGCTGAGTTGCTTGATTGGCAGAGGCATTTAAAAAAAAAAAAAGTCTCTGCTGATCAGGCAACTCAGCTGGGATCGTCAGAGCCTTTTGAAAGCATTTTTTTTACAGCCTCTTCGCTGAAGAGGTTGTAGAAAAAATGGTTTTAAAAGTAAAAAAAAAAATGGCCACGCCCACCCAGTCACATTACCACCCACCCACCAAGCCACGCCCACAGAACTGGTAGTAACAAATTTTAAGATTTCATCACTGCTCAGTGTGTGTCAGTACACTGCACATGACTCCTTGCTGTGGGCAACAATACGTTGTGGGCAACAATATGTTGTCTTGAAAGGGACCCCTAGGTCAGAGGCCGCGTCTTCCACAGAATATGCAGGCATGCTTTGGGCAAAACGAGACTTTAATTGCGCTTTGACCAAAACACGCCAGAACTGATCTGTACTTTTCTAACCATTAGAAAGGAATGGTAAATGTGGCATGAGTAGGTTAAGGCTGGTAACTTCATATACATCTTTTCTGTCCTACCAGCAGGGGTGGGGCTTCTGGGTTCTCTGCCCGGTTGCTGGGTAGGCGTGGCCTAGTCGGCCTCCTGCACCACAGTGGTGGAGGGAGGCATTTTTGCCCTCCCCAGGCTCCAGAGATTTTCTGTGAGCCTCCGGGAGGGTGAAAACGGCTTCCTCAGGCTCCAGAGGCCCTCTGAAGGCTGCAAGTAGGCCCGTTTCCGGCCTTCCCAAACTTTCAGTACACTCATTTTTTGTCTTCCCCGAGCCTCCGCGTGGGGACTCCTGGGAGGGAGGGGCTGGGAGGGAGGGGCCAGCCAAGGAAATATAGAGTGATTGGGTAGGAAGCAGACTTTTGCAGCAAAGACATGTTTTTCAAAAAAAGTTTATATGGCTATGTATAAGGCGGTGTATCATTAAAGAAAGTTGAATGCCACAGGATTGGGATGTTTAAGAAGTGTAGATAGTAACACAAAGAGATGAAGTCAAGATTTTGAAAGTTCTTCATTTCTGTTAACTCCTCTTCCAATGCTCTCCCGCTTCAACAGCAGAAACATCATAATATCATAATATGCAAGGAAGGCCCATTTAAAAATATTTTGGATATTAGTGCATTAGTTGTATTGCAAAAAAACACTCAAGCCTAATTGGAAATCATAAGACCCAAAGCCCGGAAAGCATGACGCTAACAATCAACAACCTTCTCATTAAAATACGCTCATTAAAAACAACTCTCTACTGAATGTTTTTATTTACAATATAGAATGGAGAAAAAAAAAACCTATATATAGGTAGCATTCTCTCAACTGACAAAGTCCATGCATGCAAGAACAACACTTTTGTTTTATAATTTAATTTCACACCATTTCAAAAATTGTAACGCAAGGGAATAGAATAATGTTAATAAGATGCTTTAAAAATTGTACTTTAGGTTACAAACCTGTGCACGCTAATGTGAGGGCAAGCCCCATTACACAAGGACTTTTTTGTGAGTAAACCATGCAGAGGTTTGCATTTTTAATCATAAGAATTTTGTACTGTGGATAGAGTATCTTTTAAAAAAAGCGTTGACATTTAATAGCGCACAAGATGCCCATTTTTTTTTCTGCAGCCCCAAAAGTGATCCAAGAACAAGCCTAAAGAAAGGGAAAAAAAATATTATAATAATATATCAAACGATTTCATGACACTTTTATGAGAGACACTTTTTAAAAAAGGATTAAATTGTTATATATTAGAACTGCAGAAAAAACAATTACTACTAACTTGCCTTCCATTGAAGACCTGTATACTGCACAAGTCAAAAAGAGGGCTGTGAAAATATTTATACATCCCTCACATCCTAGACATAAATTGTTTCAACTTCTACCCTCAAAACTACATCTATAGCCTCCAGAGCCTTTCTAGGAGTCTGGGGAGGGCGAAAATGGCCTTTCCCACCCCACCAGAGTTCCTCTGGAGGCCGAAAAGTTTGCCAACTTCCGGTCCGACTGGTCTCAGCTGAAGCTGAGCTCGCGTGCCCACCACGATACCCATGATAGGTTTGCCATCATGGGTATAAAGCATTATTTGGAACAAAAAGTAAGATTAAAAACCTTTTTAATAGAAAGCAGCTGATCTTCTTCCATTACGTGGCTACAAAAAGAAAAAAAAAAGAAAGGATAGATAAGTTAGTATCTTTGGGAATGCCTCTGTGAGAATTATAAACTCACTTCTTGTGATTTGTGAATTGAAAACAAAGTTCTAGCACGTGAATGAATGATTTTTTTTCCAGGTCACGCTTACATTTTAATTACAGCTGAATATTAGAGAAGAGATTTGAGAGTTTCAATAATAAAGGAAAAGTAGGAAAAATGAACAAAAAAATCTTGACCTCTGTTTACCTTAAACTAAGCCTTCCGACTGCAAATTGCCCTAGAGGTATATAAAAAAATGAAGTCTGCCTGGCTCATTGATTTAACTTGCGAGCTTTTATATTGACATATTCAGCAGAATATATGTAGTGCTAGAGGGCAGCAGTGATAATCTATAGCTGAGGACTGCAGGATTATTCTCTGGTAGCTAACAAGAAACTAAACAATTGGCATGTATCAGGTCCACCTGTACCTCTTTCTTCTCAGGGCTTTTCAGAAAATGCTGGAAGTACCGCATTTCGGTGCTCTACTACACTGGGACCAATCTTACTCTCTCCCCTTCTGGATATTTCTCTATTTAGCTCATCCTGTCCTATCCTGCTGCGTGCATTTTTTTGTGTACATGCACACCTACAGAACTGGAATCTGCCCAACCAAGAAATTAATGAAGGCAAAAGAAATAACACAGTTGAAGGAGAACAAACTTATTTAAACTTTGTTCTCTAAACAGGTTGCTGTTCAGTTCAAAAAAAAATTAAGCATCCTAGGTTCTGCATGCCTCTTAAATTGGTTGTATTATACATTTAAAGTAGAGTCACGAAGATATAAAATTGGCTGCATCATCTATTGGCTGCTGATTCAGTTCTACAGAGGAATTACTGAGTCTGTCATTTGCACCTCCATAACTGTCTAGTTTGGCTCTGCAACCCAACAAGACAGACACAGACTTCAGAGGTTAATTAGAACTGCAGAAAAAACAATGGCTACCAACCTGCCTTCCATTGAGGACCTGTATACTGCATGAGTCAAAAACAGGGCTGTGAAAATATCTACAGACTCCTCACATCCTGGACATAAACTGTTTCAACTCCTACCCTCAAAACTACATCTATAGGGCACTGCACACCAGAACAACTAGACACAAGGACAGTTTTTTCCCAAATGCCATCACTCTGCTTAACAACTAATTCCCACAACACTGTCAAATAATTTGCTAAGACTGTATTACTATTATTATTCTCTTCCTTACTAGTATCTATCTCTTCCCACTTATTACTGTAACCATGTTGCTTGTATCTTTCAACTTATATTGTTTTTATTTGTTTCCTAGTATGATTTGATAGCTTATTAGTAACCTTATGAGCAAGGTGTAATCATTTTCATCTGGTTAGTTCAATTGAAGACACAGTTTTACAATTTCACACCCAATTATATGGGAGTAAGCTTGGAGATACCCACAAACATACACATTGTGTGTATACGTCTGTATCAGGCTGCTCTATTATTTTGCACTTTGAGACAAACTGTGACCTGCTTCAGTATCCTTGCTTGTGTGTTTCTCTACCATGCAGTGACAGTCTGCCAGAAACTCCGGGGAAGGAGGGGGAATGCTTGGGTAAAGCGAAAGTAACTGCTGTATCTCCCTGAGATGCTGCTTCAAGGTCACCTGGCTAGGAGAAGACAGCTGCATACCAACTTACGTTTGAAGTGACTATTCTGAAAACATCTTGTTTGAACCTAATTCATCATGGGGAGAGGGTCAGCGATGGGAGTCAGTTAAGGGAAGGAAAGGTTGGACTTAGAAATTTTGGCACACAATTCTCAGTTCTGGCTATGCACAACTGCGACACACTTGACTTCTAATAAAATTATACCTTTCTCAACAAATGGAGCCAGGATCATTTCTATTTAAAGGTTTAAGTGCTGACAGGTGTGCCACAAACTATCTAGACAATGAATGAGTATAAAATATTTTTCTGCTAATTACAGAAATGACTAGCTCATATTTTCTCAGAATTACTGAGTTTGAGGGGCTTCAAGATTATGGAAGGCCACCTCAACTGAAAGTGTTCTCCAATTGAACTTAACATTCTGTTCTGTTCTGTTCTGTTCTGTTCTGTTCTGTTCTACTCTACTCTACTCTACTCTACTCTACTCTACTCTACTCTACTCTACTCTACTCTACTCTAGTTCTATCTTAAGTTATTGGCCAGCCAAAAGACTATCCCCAAAGAATAATCTCACTTCTCAGCATAGGTTCTGTTTATTGTCTTGTAATATATAGCCCTGAGCCAGAAACAAGCAGAAATTGACCTACTCGGAACATAAAATATCCTCTGCTTTGAACTCCTCCAGGTATTCGATGTTCTTCCTAAAAAGAGAACAGATTTCAAAATCCCCAACACTGTGGCAAAGTAACGAAGACCAATTTTCATCCTTTTGCACATGGCAAAACCCTTTTTTCTCCAACAAGCCATCTCAATCAAGCTTAATGAGTGGACATATATGCCTGTCTGCCATAAATGGGAAACATTTACCCCAACATTTTGTGAGGTGATTATAACAGCCTCATCAGAATGTTTTGCTAAAAAGTCCTTAATTATTAAGAGCAATGAAAATCCGATTTCACTGACTTTTCTATCATTTTCTTTGTGGTGAAAAGTTTACACGAGGACTTTCAGGTAAATGTACTACACAAAGAAACATAGTTTGTTTCTTTCAGGCTTTTATTGTTGTTGTTGTTAGTTGCGAAGCCATGTCCGACCATCGCGACCCCATGGACAACGTTCCTCCAGGCCTTCCTTTCAGGCTTAGTGTGATATAAATGCATATAAACGTATTGCTCTGTGTGAATCAATCCCATCGTGGCAAGAAAAAAAACCCAATTTAGTGTTATATGCAAACTCAGTTTTAGAATATAGAATAACAGAGTTGGAAGGGACCTTGGAGGTCTTCTAATCCAACCCCCTGCTTAGGCAGGAAACCCTACACCACTTCAGACAAATGGTTATCCAACATCTTCTTAAAAACTTCCAGTGTTGGAGAATTCACAACTTCTGCAGGCAAGTTGTTCCACTGATTAATTGTTCTGTCAGGTAATTTCTCCTTAGTTCTAAGTTGCTTCTCTCCTTGATTAGTTTCCACCCATTGCTTCTTGTCCTGCCCTCAGGTGCTTTGGACAATAGCTTGACTCCCTCTTCTTTGTGGCAACCCCTGAGATATTGGAACACTGCTCTCATGTCTCCCTTAGTCCTTCTTTTCATTAAACTAGACATACCCAAGTCCAGCAACCGTTCTTTATGCATATACGTATTTAGCCTCCAATTCCCTACGATTACAAGTAGTCCTTGAATTACAAAACCGTGCTGACCTTATTAATAAAAATAAATAAATACCAATTTTATTTCTTGATGTATATTTTGAAGTGCCATATAAACAGATTTAAACATTGTAAATGTTTCAGATATATCATGAGCCTTGGTGGTGCAGCGGACTAAAGTGCTGTTAAGTAGCACTTAGCTGCCAGCTGCCTGCAATTACTGCGAGTTCAAATCTCACCAGACTCAAGGTTGACTCAGCCTTCCATCCTTCCTCGGTAGGTAAAATGAGGACCTGAATTGTGGGGGCAATAAGCTGACTTTGTATATAAAAGAACACTGCTTAGGGGAGGGGCCAAAAGCCCTACTAAGCAGGTATATACAAAAGTATGAAGGCTATTGCTTAACGCATTGTAAGCCGCCCTGAGTCTCCGGAGAAGGGCGGCATGTAAATCGAACCAATAAATAAATAAACAATAAATAAATTTAATTTAATAATTTAATTTAATAATAAAATTTATATGCCGCCCTATCTCCGAGGACTCAGGGCAGCTCACAACAATAAAACAACCAGTTAAAAATATAAAATACATAATATATAATTTATATATTACATAATATATATATATATTATGTATATAATTTATATATTACATAAATTATATACATAATATATTTAAATATCCTAACAGATGCCAAGGCCTGCTGTGCTATTATTGTCCTATTGAAACTAATGGTACAAGAGTGTCATGAGTAATTTAGGCTACAGTGCTGAATGAATGCACTAATACTCAATGAATTTAGGATTTAGTTCTGAATAAAAAAAAAAGCATAAGAATGCAGTTAGAAATACAGGTAGTCCTCGCCTTACGACTACAATTGAGGCCAAAATTTATGCTGCTAAGTGAGGAACTTGTTAAATGAGTTTTGCCCCATTTTACAATTTCTCTTGCCGCCGTTGTTAAGTGAATTTATTTATTTATTTGTTTGTTTAAATTTCTATACCGCCCTTCTCCAATATAGGACTCAATATAGGACTCAATATAGGAATCACTGCAGGTGTTAAGTTAGTAACCCGGTTGTTAAATGAATCTGGCTTGCTCATTGACTTTGCTTGCCAGAAGGTTGCATGACCCCGGGGACACTGCCACCGTCATAAATACGAGTCAGTGGTCAAGTGTCTGAATTTTGATCATTTGACCCTGGGGACGCTGCAATGGTCGTAAGTGTGAGAAACGATCGTAAGTCGCATTTTTCAGTGCCGCTGTAACTTCGAGCGGTCACTAAAAGAACCATTGTAAGTCCAGGACTACTGTATGATACAGCCCAATAGAAATAATTAAAACTAAGAAATAGAAGCTTTTTTAAAAAAGAAAAAAGAAAAAAGATGAGAAAGACACATGAAAAAGAGCCTTGGTAGTACAGTGGTCTAAAGCACCTTGTTATTAAGACCAGCTGCCTGCAATTACTGCTAGTTTGAATCTCCCCAGGCTCAAGGTTGACTCAGCCTTCCATCCTTTCTAAGGTAGGTAAATTGAGGACCCAGTTTGTGGGGGCAATAAGCTGACTTTGTATAAAATATACAAAAGGATGAAGGCTATTGCTTAACGCATTGTAAGCCGCCCTGAGTCTCCGGAGACGGGCGGCATATAAATCAAATTAAAAAAAAAAAGTTATGCTATTGTGCATAATTTAGAAGGTACATACGTCCGCTTTGTATCTCTTCGGTCTCCTGTCATGAAGTTGGGGAATAAATGGCAGCAACGGATGTGTGGCCAATGACTAAGAAAATAGGAATAGAGACACGTGAACGGCAATGAGATTCTAGCCGGAATCTGGGAGAAATTCCCCCTCCTACAATAAACACTTGTAAGCCCAGCAGAGACATGCTAATAATATATAATATATAATCAATATCTTCCAGGCTTAAAATCATCATATATGGGAGTCAGGGCTACTATTATACCGAAACTGGCTAGAGTGCTAAATACAGGCAGTCCTTGACTTACAACAGCTCATGTACTAACCGTTCAAAGTTATAACAGCACCGAAAAAAAGTGACTTGTAACCATTTTTCATTTATGCCCTTTGCAGCCTCCTCATAGTCATGTGATCAAAATTCAGACACTTGGCAACTGACTCATATTTGTGATAGTTGCAATGTCCCGGGGACATGGGATCCCCTTTTGCGACCGTTCGACAAGCAATGGGGAAACCAGATTCACTTAACCACCTTGCTACTAATTTAATAATACTGCTGTCAGGTTTCGATGTCATCTCAAATAAATTGCACTCCCAAACAATTAATCTTTGCTGAAATATTCCATTTATTGAGTACGACAGATCTGGCCCCGACTTCGTCGTAGCCGATACTAACCCTCTGACCCCCAAACCCTTCCCTTTCCGTTCCCCAATTCTCATCTTCTCATTGGCCATCTTCCAAGTCAGTCTCCCCTAATTCTGACCTGACCCCACAGGAATGTCTCCCCTCCCATCCCATCTCCTAAGGGATATTATCTACAGAGAAAATAAGTAGGTGAAAAGTCAAGCCTCGTCTCCTCCTTTTTATGGCAGCATCAGAATGCTGACAACTGCTTTAACAAAGCAGCGGTTCACTTAACAACGGTGGCAAGGAAGGTCATAATATAGGACAAAACCCACTTAACAAATGTCTCACTTAGCAACAGAAAGTTTGGGCTCAATTGTTGTCGTAAGTCAAGGACTACCTGTAGACGAAGGAGGCCTCTTCTAACCACAAATATAAATGTTATAAATGAGATTAAATTGTATTTACACTGTTATTGTTCTATTTTTTTTGTCTTCCCAGCCTAAGATGAGATGCTGTGGGATTTTTCGTCTTACATATTTAGCCTTCGGTCCTGTGCATCATGTAGAGAAGGATGAGACAGGAGGAATATTGGACTGTAGTCTAGCTTGGCATATTAGGAGGGCATCAGTGGTGCGATGCTGCTGTCTTAACAATCAGTTCGGTGAGCGTGTGCTTTGCAAGCGTCTAAAGTGCTTGTGCGCAGCGCTGAAAATGGAGCATTTAGAAGCTCAGCTGCTTACCGTCCAAGTCAGCAATGGTAAGAACAGCGAGGGGGGGGGGAAATCAGCTGTGCCACATGATTGAGATAAGCTACAAAGCAGGAAATAAAGGACATGATGGGGGGGCGCAGCCAGCTGATCGTCGGAGTAACAGTTCACCTGAATTGGTCCGAACCGGCTGAATACCACCTCTGGAGGGCATGCTAGGAGTGGAAAAAATCAGGATGACAGCAAATTCCCTGACCTCCAGATGGGAGAATTTTACAAATCAATGCCAGGAAGAATCATTGGCTTAATTCTTTGAATCCAGCCATCTCTCTTTCACACCCAGGAGCAAGGTTCCTTCAATCCAACTTTGATTTGTATGACTGTCTCTACAAACTCTACATCAGGGGGTGTCCAATCTTGGCAACTTTAAGAGTTGTGGACTTCAACTCCTAGAATTCCCCAGCTAGCCTGCTCAATTGTTTTTCTTCTCTTTGGCTTTGCAGAATTCAGCTGCTACTTGAAACAGCCAGTAATTCCGCATGCCAGCAGTGCTGTAGAATTAATTCCTTGATGATGGTTAGGACTTTTGGTATGAGATTTATACAGAATAAACTTCCTCTTGTTTGTTACAGTTTATTTCTTATTTATTAAGAATGCCTCTTACAGTTTATTTATTTGTTTAGATTGCCTGTAAAAGTTCATGCAACAATATAAGGGTTTTACATTCACAAAATGTATCATGGTAGAACTAGCTTTACATTAGTAGTGTCGATTTTTTTGATTTCCTTGCTAAACCAACATGGCATGAGCTGTAATAAACTGGATTATCATAGATCATATAAAGGCAACGGGAACTGATAAAACTATTTTAAAAAGCAAAACTGGAAACAATTATGCTGCATTTCGCAGCAGGACCCCATTTCTTTCTAGACTAATAATGAACTTTACAATAATTTGTAGAGCTGTAAAAATAGTAATGATTTCTGATATTATCCCAGAATTTGGCCCAAATGGATTTCTGCCAGGAAGATTGACAATGTGGCAAGAACATTAACTAAATTATGTCCTTTTTGGAGAGGGAAAAAGGGAGCTTAATTCATGTTAAATTGTATTTAACTATTTAATTGCAGTACTATTTAATATATAGCAATGCTCATTTACAAACTATGGTTACATTAACTTTGGTTAGTTTCTAATGACAACTTTAGGAAACCGTGGTTTGAAATTAACTTAATTCAAAACAATCTGCATCAAAGTCATTACTTTCTAACAATGAAAATGTTAGAAATGAATAAACGCTGAAGTTTTTCAACCCTACGAAGAACATTGCCCAATAAAGCTTGTCTTGCTCTGTAATACAGAAAATATTGAATTTAAATTCATTTCAAGGCTTATGCAAATTAGAAATGCCGTATTCGTATCTGCAAGTTTGTAAAACGTTCAAAATAAGATTTTTAAATTACCTATCAAACTTCCAATTTGACAAATGCTTCTGCTGACTAGCCGCCCAGAGAAGCCCCATTAGGCTTAGATTTAGAATAACTTTATTGTCACTTTAAATCAGGGGTGAAATGCTCCTGGTTTGGACCGGATCGCCCGATCCGGTAGGGATGGAGGCGGGTGGTTCAGAGAACCGGTAACAAAAATCCTTGCCCCACCCCCATGCCCAGTTGAGCCGTGTGATCATCAGAGGCTTTTTAAAATTATTTTTAAAAGCATTTTTTCTACTACCTCTTCGGCCGAAAAAAATGCTTTTAAAAGAAAAAAAAAAGCCTCTGATGATCACGCGGCTCAGCCAAGCTGTCTCAGGAATTCTGGGAGTTGAAGTCCACAGGTTGTAAAAGGGCCACATTTGCCTACCTCTGCACTAGGTCATTCTTGATATAGTAATGTCGACTTGTTTCAGAGGAAAAACAGACCATCCGGTTTTGCATATTCCTTATTTAAATTAATCCATCGGTGAGTAGCCTTGCACAGCTGGTATCTGGGAGCCACAAAGCCGAGAATCCATTAGCATCCATCGTTTGCTTGAAAACTAATTATAAAACATTGCAAGTAGTTCTCAACTTGCGGCCGGAATGCAGCTTGGATTATTATTGCTGTAAGTCGTGACAGTTGTAAAACGGACCATCACATGATCAATTTTATGACCTTTGCAGCCATCGTTAAAAGAACCCATTGTTCACTATGGGGTGTGCTTTTTCTGAAAACTGGAAGTAAGCATCATGTTTTGGCCAAAACGTCATAAATTGTGGTCGTGTGACCACAGGACACTGCAACTGGCCATAAATGTGAGCTGGTTATTAAGCACTCGAAATGAGGTCATCAGTGGTGATAGTCAGCTGGTTCTATCCGGTTCAAGTGAACCGGTAGCGGCAGCTGCGGGAGGCTCCGCCCACCCACCCAGACGTCATCATGTCCCGTTTTTGACGCTCTGTGCATGCGCAGAGGTGTTGTGCGCAAGCAAAACGAGCACGTGCACATTTGCAAAACGGTAGCAAAGGTAAGTCAATATTACCCCTGGAGTTCATGTGACCGGGGAATAGCAGTTGGAATTTAAGAACTGGGTATTGAGTACCATATTGGGCGGGGCCATCGGAACTTTTGAGCAGTTGCTAAGCAACCGGTCATAAGTCAAAGACTACCTGAACCAGAAGAAGCTGACTACCATATTAAGAAAATACAGTGGTAACTGTTATTACCTTGTCTTTCTGTAGAAATTCCAGAACCATAAAGCAAAATTCTTCGACTGCATTGGATGGCTAAAAAAAAAGAGGCTAGATTAATGAACTGAAATTATCCTCCTTGAAAAAATAAAAATTAACACATTTGCATTATTTAAAACGTTAAATTCAACTGACCTGAGGCAGAATGTCTGGGATAGCAGAACATATATCATCTATCTAACAATATTGAGAAGAAGGTAGATTCAGTAACGTTTTCAACTGAACAAAAATGAAAGAAATTTAGCTTTTTTTTGTTGAGTATTACAAATAAAGTATATGCCAGTCCCCTATTAGAATTCTCAATTATTAAATTTGTTTTTTTTTTAAAAAAACCACACCTTATAGTACGAATGGCATAGGCACAGCTTTGTGTTAAATAAAACAACACTAAAAGTAGTAACATGAGGGATACTGTTTTCTACCTCATTCCACACTTTTTCTTCTTGGAGAACATGGGACATCACTGGTACACCTGAAAATAAGGGGAAAAAATGATCTGGGTTTAAATTTTCTATTTATGATATTACCAACTATGCAGAGATCACCAACTGAGTAACAAATACTGTTACTCAGAAAACAGAGTTAGTAACAAAAAAGCAGGCAAGACATTGAATATATACAAGAAGCTGACATTTGGAGTCCAAAAACAGTTCACTTCAGGCCTGATTTATGTTGTGACATGAAATATTATATGCTTACGTCATTATTTTTTCCTGCTTTTCATTAATTTCAGTGCCGATAAATTTGTGAAATCTCTACATTTTTAATCTGAGCTGCTTAGCAGTACACATTGGATTATGTGAAACACATGTTTTCAAACACATTTTATTTTAATCCCTAATCGTAACAATGTTGAGTTTGAAATGTGATCCGTCCCATAAATATCTACATCTATTTGAATGCAGAACTTTATTATACTTTTAAATCAGACAGTGTTCCCACTTTATCTAGATGTGAATTCAACATACTCAGGTATTTTTTGAAATGATTATAGTTAGAGAAAAATATATACTATGTATTTCTGTCTCTTTCATTCTCTAAGAGACATATATTCAACACCTAATCAATATTTCAACTATTTATGAATAAGGAATTTTTATGGTTCTTTATTTATAAGGAATCAAGAACATATGGAGCAAGCTGTCAAGAAATATACTACAGATTAACATTTCCTAGAGCATCCATGATGTCCTTGGAAAAGATATTAAAATGTCATGATGTGTCTACACCTACAAAGCAGGGTTGGGTTCTAAAATTTTTTACTACCAGTTCTGTGGGCGTGGCTTATTTTGTGGGCGTGGTTTGATGGTCATGTGACAATTCTTTAGGATTTAGAAGAGGTACTGGTCTACCAGGCTTTTAACTGCTTGCAGAGCTGTACCGGTCTACCCATTTGTTCTTGGCGCGTCCTGGTCTACCCATTTGTTTTTCGAGCGTCCTGGTCTACCACCACACTGCCTTTTAACACTGATCAGCTGTAGGGCGGCCCTTTGAAGCCCCGCGGCAAGAGTTTAAACAGTTTTTTTCCTTCCAGCCGATCAACTGGGACTCAGGAGGCAGCGAACAATTGGGGGTGGGCTGAAATAAAAGGTAAGAATAACGCGGGGGGGGAGGGCCCAGCTCCCAAACAAAGAGAACAGGTTCGGTGACATCATATCATCACCGCTACCAGTTCGGCCGAACCGGGCTGAACCGGGAGGAACCTACCACTGCTCCAAAGATCAGAATTGTACAAGCCATGGTATTTCCTTTACATATCTATTGATGTGAAAGTTGGATTTTAAAGACCCAGGCTAGAAAAAACATTCACGCCTTCGAACTTGAATATTGGAAAAGATTCTTCAGTATACTACTATTTGAGAGGTTGCCACAAAGAAGAGGGAGTCACTTTATTTTCCATAGCACCTGAAGCCAGGACAAGAAACAATGGATGGAAACTAATCCAGGAGAGAAGCAATGTGGAATTAAGGAGAAACTTCCTAACTGTGAGGACAATTAAGCAGTGGAACGGCTTGCCTTCATATGTTGTGGGTACTCACTGGAGGTTTTTAAGAAGAGACTGGATAGTCGCTTGTCTGAAATGGTATAGGATCTCCTGCTTGAGTAGGGGGCTGGATCTCCTAGGTCCTTTCCAGATCTAATCTCAGGGGTGAAATGCTCCCTGTTCGGACCGGCTCGGGCGAGTAGGTAGCGATGGCAGCGGGCAGTTCGGAGAACCGGTAGCAAAAATCCCTGTCCCCACCGCCCATGCCCAGCTGAGTTGCGTGATCATCAGAGGCTTTTTTCTTTTAAATGCCTCTGACGAGCCAAGCTCTGACGATCCCAGCTGAGTTGCCTGATTGGCAGAGGGTTTTTAAAAAATCCTCTGACGATCAGGCAACTCAGCTGGGATCATCAGAGCCTTTTGAAAGCATTTTTTTTTACATGGTTTTACATGTAAAAAATGGTTTTAAAAGTAAAAAAAAAATGGCCACGCCCACCCAGTCACATTACCCCACACACACACCAAGCCACACCCACAGAACCGGTAGTAACAAATTTTAGATTTCACCACTGTCTAATCTGATTGATTGATATAATGGACAGCCAATCACAACACAAACCAATGGCTCATCAAATAATTTAACCCAGAGTGATCACTCAAGACACAAGGACAGGGTCTCAAATTAGCCTATTTTGGACATTGTCAGGTTTCAATGTCACCTCAAATAAATTGCATTCCCAAACAATTAATCTTTGCTGAAATATTCCATTTATTGAGTACGACAGATCTGGTCCCGACTTCGTCGTAGCCGATACTAACCCTCTTACCCGCAAACCCTTCCCTCTCCGTTCCCCAATTCTCATCTTCTCATTGGCCATCTTCCAAGTCAGTCTCCCCAGCTTCTGACCTCACCCCACAGGAATGTTCCCCCCACCATCCCATCTCCTAGGGGATATTATCTACAGAGAAATAAGTAGGTGAAAAGTCAAGCCTCATCTTTTTATGGCAGCATCAGAATGCTGACAGACATCTTATGTGAAAACCTGGGATTCTTGAAATGACTTTAATGCTGGGGAAGATAGAAGGAAAGCAAAGAAGAGAAAAATCAGCAGCAAGGTGAATGGACCCACAATGGTGATGGCTGCTGGAAAACTTGAAAAAAATAGGTTAAGTATAAGAATGCTAAGAATCGAAAATGACTTGATGGTATACATAGTCCTTGACATATACCCTTTCATTTAGTGACTGTTTGAAGTTATAGCAACACTGAAAAAAGTGCCTTATGACCATTTTTCACACTTACGACTGTTGCAATATCCCCATGGTCACATGATCAAAATTGAGATGCTTGGCAATTGGTTCATATTTATGACGGTTGCAATGTCCCAAGGTCATGTGGTGACCTTTTACAACCTTCTAAACAAGCAAAATGGCTCAGGACCTGGGTACTTGCAGGACCGCCTACTACCACCAATAGCCTCCCACCGGCCGGTACGCTCTCATAGAGAGGGGCTCCTCCGGGTGCCGTCGGCCAAACAATGTCGACTGGCGGCCCCCAGGGGGAGAGCCTTCTCTGTGGGGGCACCTTATATCTGGAACAAGCTCCCCCCGGAGATATGGAGGATCCCGGATCTGCGCACCTTCCGCCGCGCTCTAAAGACCTTTTTATTTCACCAGGCGGGCCTGGCCTAACTTTCTCCCTTTTTTTAAACAATTTTAATATTTTAATATTTTTAATACTCAAAGTTTAAATTTGTTTTAAATTGATTGGGGTTTTAATTTGTCTGGGCCAAACTATTTATTTCAATTTTATTTCTGCTTTTTAAATTTTGTATGTATGTATTTTATTGTTGGCTGTTCACCGCCCTGAGTCCTTTGGGAGTAGGGCGGTATACAAATCAAATAAAAGTAAAGTAAAAGTAAAGTAAAATCAACGAGGAAGGCAGATTCACTTAATAACCGTGTTACTAACATCAGTGTTGCAATGATTGACTTAACAACTGTGGCAGTAAAGGTTGCAAAACGGGGCAAAATCACTTAACACTTGTGATCATAAGACAAGGACTACCTGTATAATCTATCAATCAGTCATGTTTAAAGTGACACTGAGTTATATTGGTTGAAGATGTACAGTATATGGATGTGTACTAAGCTATACAGACTGAGCAATAAAATTATTTGCACTGGGAATAACAATAGCAATAGCACTTAGACTTATATACCGCTTTCACAGTGCTTTACAGCCCTCTCTATGCAGTTTACAGAGTCAGCATATTTGCCCCCAACACTCTGGGTCCTCATTTTACCAACCTCAGAAAGATGGAAGGCTGAGTCAATCTTGAGATTCAAAGTGCTGAATTGCTGACAGTCGGCAGAATTAGCCTGCTGAATGAGATACTTAACAATTGTGATGAAAAAAGAAATGATAAGGTCAAAAATGTATTGATGCTAAAGGACAATGGTTTGGGTACAAAATGAGAGACCGGTATAACATTAGTACACTAATGGGATTTGGTCATATGGAAAAAATGAACTGGGATGAAATGGCAAACTGTGTGTTTGTGTGTATAAAAAGAAAGATGAATCTGATTCATACAATTTTCAAAAAGAGAGTGCTGAATTTCTGAAGCACAGAAAGTGACGTACAGATATAATGGCAGTCAAGATTATTTGCAAAAATATGAAGGTGTGTAGAATATAGTGAATAGTGTTGGTGAATTCCAGATTTAAATTTAAATTTAAATTTCCTCTTCTTATCTTGTGCAATTAATTTGCTTTCTTACTACTTTATATTACTTTTTTGTGCTTTGCCTCACAAGTGCTGCTCACCCCAAAAGGGAATAGCGTGACATTTTTGCATGAATTATGTTAACAGGGTGTTTTCACCGTAAATAAAACCATACAATGTTCAAAAAGATATAATTAAACAGTTCTGATTTTTTATCTATTCTGAAGGAAATTCTAGTCAGTGGGCTTTGCTGCCAGAAAACTGCAGTATGAATGTATGTATGTATGTATGTATGTACAGTATGTATATGTATACATACATATATGTGGATAGATAGATAGATAGATAGATAGATAGATAGATAGATAGATAGATGGATCGATGGATGGATCGATGGATGGATCGATGGATCGATGAATGGATGGATCGATTAATGCATGGATCGATGGATGAATAGATAGATATAGACAGGCAGATAATAGATAGATAGATAGATAGATGGATGGATGGATGGATGGATGGATGGATGGATGGATGGATGGATTGACAGATGGATGGATGGATGGATTGATGAATGGATCGATGGATGAATAGATAGATATAGACAGGCTGATAGATAAATAGATAGATAGATAGACAGACAGACAGACAGACAGACAGATGATAGATGGATGATCGAGAGAGAGAGATGATTAGATAGATAGAGAAGACAGATAAGAGAGAGAGAGAGAGCATTCAAATTGTAAAATGAGGGCAAAAA